GCATGCATGAAAAATTAGCTGATTCTTAGTGGAGCATTGAAAACGCGTGACTCCCTTTCATCTCTAGCACTGTACATGCAGAGGCCAGGAAGGAAAAGCAGGAAAAGCTGTCATTTCAAGTATATAGCTTGTTACATCCCTTGGCAGTTTGGCAAAGCTGTAGTCCCCATAGAATCTGGGCTGGGGCCCGTCTAACGCAAAGGGGGTCTAATATTTTTTATAGGTTACAAGAGTCTCCTGCTAAGAATGGACCAGAAACATCTGATCCTTTTCCGGCCCTGACACCTATCATATGTATTATGTCGCACAGGGGAATTTAATGGGAAATAAATAAACAAGGGAGGTATGGGATATTGGATTTTTGAGCACATTAAAGCTTTATGAACAAATGATGTAATGGGTGTTATTCATTCCCTTCTCCCTTTCATGTGTGTACACACACAGCCTACGAGTGATTAACACAGGGAAAAGATCACTTCCATTTGTGTGAGCAATGCTAAAATGAGAGTGCCAGGCAGTTGATGTTGTACTCTTTTTAAAATGTTTCAAACTCCAGGGAGCTGTTCACCCACTGGTGACAGAATGACCTGGTGACAGCTTCTGTAGCCCCAGAGATCCTGTTCCCTCCCCACACCCTGTTCTGACTGGAAGTGGGATTCCAAAACATGACCTTAAAGGTGACGAACAGGAGACATCCTGCTGGGCCAAATGCCTGTTAACCTAATCTGGATTTTGCCCTCTCCTTCCCCTCAGGAAACAGTATTGCATGTCATGACGAACAACACATCACCCTCTATTTCTGGAGTGACACTTAAAAGTTCTGCTAAAACACTGGAGCAGTCAACTAAAAGTGTTTGGGATACAACATGCCACTCACCAATGAGACCATGAATACACCAAATTAACACTACCTTTTAAGATGCAAATTAGAAAAAAAAACTACAATGGGTCTCTGGTAGGCTTGGGCGGTTTCGTTCGTTAATTTCGTAATTCGTTATTAATTCGTATTTAAATTAGCTTACGATCCAATATTGAGCTATGCAGGAATAGTGTGAGGAGTAAATTAGATTCGAAACAATTTTTTCAATTTATTTCGTAATTATTTCGTAATTTTTTCGTAATTATTAAGTTTTATAGTTGTTGTTTGTTTTATCACACCAACAGTCAACAACAGAAGGAGAGGGAAGCTTCAGAAGTTCCCCTGTCCCATTTGGAGGTTTTTTTAGCATATTGTGCAATCGCGTCCGCCATTAACGAATCGATTCGTAATTTTACGAAATTTCATATATTTCGAAATTTTTAGAAGGAAAATTTCGGAATTATTTAAAAAACGAAACGCAAGGGCCCCCTAAAAACAAAACGAGTTTAGAACCAATTTTTTCCGTGGTTACCCAAGCCTAGTCTCTGGAAGCAGGTAGTCGAAGTAGATATTTCTTTTTAAAAAGGAGAAGCAGATGAAGGTGATAATTCTATAAACAAAACGGAGAAGTATGGTTCAATCATGTGCTGACTGCTTTGAAGCAAGGAATCAAGTTGGGATAAGATAATGCAAAAAGAGCAAAAACTAATTAAAACTCTATATCAGACTCTGTTATAATGGGACTTGGAAACAGAGAGAATAAAAGAAAACATGACGAAATGGGCCATTGACATAGGCCATCCAATACTGCTTAAAGACTGGGAGAATGTCTGGAAGAAGTTAAGATTTATGAAAGCCACAAATATTATAGAAGGATGGTACAAGATATATTTTCCCTGGTACTTGACACCTTTACAAATCTCAACATTCAGTAAAAAGTATAGTAACAGATGCTGGAAATGCGAAAAAGAGCTGGGTACCCACTTCCATCTGTGGTGGGGATGTAAAATAATCAAAAAGTACTGGGTAGCAATACATAAACACACACACAAAATCCTTGGAGTGAAGTTCGATTCGAAACCGGAATTCTATCTCTTGAATATAATAAATTGGAATCTAAGTCCCAGGTCTCGGCGGTGACCAGGGGAGCATTTGCACAGCTAAACTCGTGTGCCAGCTGCGCCCGTACCTTGGGAAGTCTGACTTGGCCACGGTAGTCCACGCTCTGGTTACATCCCGTCTAGACTACTGCAACGCTCTCTATGTGGGGTTGCCTTGAAGACGGCCCGGAAGCTTCAATTAGTCCAACGTGCGGCAGCCATGATTCTAACAGGAGCGGAGCACAGGGATTCTATGACCCCCTGTTGCGCCAGCTCCATTGGCTGCCGATCTGCTACCGGGCTCAATTCAAGGTGTTGGCGCTGGCCTATAAAGCCCTAAACGGTTCCGGCCCAAGATACCTATCTGACCGCATCTCGGCCTATGAACCCACCAGGACTTTGAGATCTTCCGGGGAGGCCCTGCTCTCGATCCCGCCGGCTTCTCAAGCACGGCTGGCGGGGACGAGAGATAGGGCCTTCTCGGTGGTGGCCCCTCGGCTGTGGAACGCCCTTCCTGCGGACATTAGGCAGGCACCATCTCTCATGGCATTCCGAAAAAAGCTGAAGACCTGGATGTTTGTGCAGGCGTTCGAGTAATCTAGTGCAATATTGGTAATTGAACATAGGAATGGAACAATGGACGACGAACCTGGTCTACGCTTTGATGATGAGACGATTGGGCTGGTTATTGTAATAACTGTTTAGTGTAATTGCTTGTTGGTTATTAATTGGATAATGTGTTAAGTGGTCAATTGTTATATGTGCATTGAATTATTGCTGTTTTTATTGTGTGTAAACCGCTGTGAGTCGCCTTCGGGCTGAGAACAGTGGTATATAAGCAAAATAAATAAATAAATAAATAAATAAATAAATAAGTGGAAATGAAGAGAAGTTGTTCCTTTATATATCAGCTGCAGCGAGAACGACAACTGCCCAAAGATGGAAAGAAAAAGACCCTCCACAAATCGTTGATTGGATAAATAAAATTCTAGACTATATGAGCATGGACAATAAGAGCAAACAGACGAACTGGGAGCCTTTGAAAAGGTTCATGCAGGAAGATATGCAAATCCAACGCTAAGGATGAAGGACTCACCAATCGATACAGAGAAATGTAATTAAGTTTTTAAAATAGAAAAGCAAATGGACATAATCACTCCCGTCCCTGCGGATCGAACTGGAAGTGAGCGCCTCTCTCCCCCCCGCCCTTCCTTTCTCTTTCTTCTTTTCCTCGTCTCCCCTGTTCCCCTTCTCTTACGGCCTCTTTTTTCTCTCTCTCTTTCCCGTCCCGTCCCCAATATATCACTCTCCTCTTCCAACTCTCTTTCTAGAATGACCACATTGTTCCCCCACTTTCACTGTAAACCTTCGAAAACTATAAAATAAAAATTATTTTTAAAAAATCATGTGCTGACTGCTGAGACAATAAACCACTTTTCCAGTAACTTATGGCTATATTTTCATATCATGAGTGAAGTGCAGTGTCCAATGCATTACAGATACGATACCATGAAAAACAAAATTATCTGGGCAGAGGCCTAAATGGGGCACTAAACAGAGAAGGATCGACCATTTTATGGGGGAGATGGGGGGTTTGAAAGAGTATAACCATTTCCCCCTGTTTTCCTGTTATTCCCCCCACCCATGTTGCTGTCATCGAAACAACTATAATTTATGACATGGGGGGTATTAGTGTGTGTGTGTGTGGGAGGGTTACCAACAAAAATGGGAGAAATAGTTTTCCTTCTTCAACCCCTCTCCCAAATTTCTTTCTTTCTTTCTCGCATTTCTACCCTGCTCTTCTCAACCCCCGAGGGGGGACTCAGGGCAGCTTACAAAAAGGCACAATTCGATGCCGGCACAACAACAAGGTAAAAAATAAAACATATAAACAATAATTAAAACAATTAAAACAATCCATTATACATAACAATTAGGCCTGGTTGATCAAGAAAAAATTTGGTTCTAAAATCGATTTGTAATTGGGGTGTTTTTTTGTTTCGATATTTAAAATAATTACAAAATTTTCCCCCAAAAAAGTTTTGGTATTTACGAAATTTTGTAAATATTAACGAATTTTTAGAATATGTTTTGTATTTTTTAAGAATAATATTAAAATAATATTAAAAATATTTAAAAATGGAAAATTAACCAAAAAATGGCCCAAACAGTAATTAAAACAATTAAAACAATCCATTATACATCACAATCCCTAAAAACAATCTAGTGCTCAACGTTGACCAGCTCAGAGTCCGTAAATTCAAATTCCACATTGTCCAATCCATCAATTCTAGTCGTCGCTTGTGCCTTATCTATCCGCCATATTACCCAAAGGCCTGGTCCCAAATCCATGTTTTTAATTTCCTTCTAAAGGAGAGGAGGGATGTCGATGACCTAATTTCCCGGGGAGTGAGTTCCACAGGTGAGGGGCCACCACCGAGAAGGCCCTGCTCCTCGTCCCCACCAATCTCACTTGTGATAGAGGTGGGGCCGAGAGCAGTGCCTCCCCAGAGATCTCAGACTCCGAGGTGGGACGTAAAGGGAGATCCATTCAGACAGATACTCTGGGCCGGAACCGTATAGGGTTTTGTAGGTCAAAACCAGCACTTTGAATTGTGCTCAGAACTGGATGGCAGCCAGTGGAGCTGACACAACAGGGGGGTGGTATGCTCCCTGTATGACGCTCCAGTGAGTAATCTAGCCGCCGCCCGCTGGACTAATTGAAGTTTCCTAACTGTCTTTAAAGGCAACCCCATGTAGAGTGCGTTGCAGTAATCTATTCGGGATGTAACAAATGTCTAAGTCCCATTTTGGAGTCAGCCCAGATAATGGAACAATACCAAAAACAACCAAGACCACTCATTCCACAGGGATTATCCTCTTGATCTCCATGCTCCACTTTTATGTTATCAAAGCACTGCTGATCGTGTCAGCTAGGGAAAGTAAAACTACAACATTTATTAATTCTATTAACCCCTACCTTTGGCCATGGAATTAGGAATTCTCTAGAGGGAAAGCTGGTCGTAACAACTGTGACATACCTCTTCCCTGTGTTCTTCTCCAGATCGTTGAAGAAACCACCTAATGGATGCTTGTTGAGACTTCGGAATACATTCCAGAAACGTTGAATTAAATTCAATGCCAAAAATCACCTTTTCATCTGTGGTTTCATGACTAATGCCTGGAAAGCAAACATGGTACAGAAGATTAACCTTGCCCCGATTTCTTTAAGCAATGGGAAAACAAAACTGATAAAGAACAGATGCTGTGAGAAGCACATCCACTGTTAAGGCAAATGAAAGGCACCTCAGGTTTAGTATAGCTCACTAAGGTTTAATCTGATGGTAAGCCATTTATATCAACAGTGTAATTTATGTCTAAATTGACCACTTCCTTTCCTTTAAACCAGGGGTCCTCAAACTTTTTAAACAGAGGGCCAGGTCACAGTCCCTCAAACTGTTGGAGGGCCGGATTATAATTTGAGAAAAACATGAATGGTGATTCGATTCTAAAGTCAATTCTGATTTTCACAGAATTTTTTTTTCAAAACTTTTCAAAACTTCAGAGATTTCCAAATCCTTTTATTAATGGTTTGAAGGCGTTATTTCCTGTTTCATTGGGTGGTGTTTACTTTGAAAGTAGTTGTTTTACTCCAGAAGTGGGGAAAAGCAAGCGGAGGAAATTCCTTCCTTCTCTGGTTAAAAACTGGCTTCTCTGGCTTGAGCCGAGGCCAGGGACCAGAAGCAGGGAAAAGCAAACGGAGGAAATTCCTTCCTTCTCTCGCTTAAAACTGGCTTCTCTGGCTTTATAACTGACTTCTCTGGCTTGAGCCGAGGCCAGGAAATTCCTTACTTCTCTGGTTTAAAACTGGCTTCTCTGGCTTGAGCCGAGGTCAGGAACCAGAAGCAGGGAAAAGCAAACGGAGGAAATTCCTTCCTTCTCTCGCTTAAAACTGGCTTCTCTGGCTTTATAACTGACTTCTCTGGCTTGAGCTGAGGCCAGGAAATTCCTTCCTTCTCTGGTTTAAAACTGGCTTCTCTGGCTTGAGCCAAGGCCAGGGATCAGAAGCGGGGGAAAGCAAACGAAGGAAATTCCTTCCTTCTCTCACTTAAAACTGGCTACTCTGGCTTTACAACTGACTTCTCTGGCTTGAGCCGAGGCCAGAAAATTCCTTACTTCTCTGGTTTAAAACTGGCTTCTCTGGCTTGAGCCGAGGTCAGGAACCAGAAGTGGAGAAAAGCTAAATCATTTCTGACTCACTTCCTGAGTCGTAACAAAAAAGGTGGGAAAAGCTTCGGAAGGGCAAACGGACTTCTGGTTCTTTAAAAAGCTTCAATATCACTAAGAAAAGGTAATTTGTAACGAAATTATTATGAGCAACGAGTTATCCGAGCGACTCTATCCATGCCTATTGTCAAGCTATAGTTGTATAATGTGCCTCCAGACTATTCTGTGAACCCATGTAAAATTATGAACCAACTGTGTGACACACAACAATATAATATCTTCACATGGCTCTCAGTGCAATTCTTAGTTTAGAACTAGATAATCATTTATTCTATACAAATGATTGGGACTGTAACAGGCAACCTATTCATTTCCAAAAGTTGTTTCCTTAGCTTTCATTTACACTGGCTGCTTAATACAGGGTCAGTCTAGAGCAGGGGCCCTCAAACTTTTTAAACAAAGGGCCAGGGCACAGTCCCTCAAACTGTTGGAGGGCCGGATTACAATTTGAAAAAAAAGTATGAATTCCTATGCACATTGCACATACCTTATTTGTAGTGCAAAAAACACTCAAACAATAAAATAATTAAAATAAAGAATAATTTCAATAAATATAAACTTATTGGTATTTCAATGGGAAGTGTGGGCCTACTGTTGGCTGATGAGATAGGATTGTTGTTGTTGTTGTTGTTGTTGTTGTTGTGTGCTTTCAAGTCATTTCAGACTTAGGTTGACCCTGAGAAAGGGCCAGGTAAATGACCTTGGAGGGCCCTATCCGGCCCCCAGGTGTTAGTTTGAGGACCTCTACTCTAGAACATTAGGTAGTACTGCATTGATGGGTCTAGATTGCATTGGCCCTATTGGAGCATACCCTTAACTATGTGTCATTGTTGAATAAAGGTGTTGACATGTGGATGATCAATCCTGTTCCCTGAAAGAGTGATGGCTATACGTGTGTGTGCTCAACAGATTGGGCTGAAAGTGATCCAACCCAGTTGTTCATATTGTTGCAAAGCCTGTAGATATGCCAGAGTTTCTTGCAAATTCTGGAGTATCCTCCAACTTTCCTTAGCTCAGAACAAAGTTGGGTTAAAAGCAACAAAACTCAGATACATATAGGATATGCATCATGAAGACTGCCAGTGCCAGATTCAGGGTGATTACATGGTTTTTTTTTTTTTACTACTGTAGACAAGTTCTTAGTCTTGTTATTCATGAGATCACTACTCATTCTCCCCAAAATGTAGCAGCGAAAAAATCTATAGTCTTCATTACGTCTGTCTATACTGTAGTCCATTCTATTGTTTTTCACTTTACAGTACAATAAGGCCGTATGAAAATTGCTGAAGACCAATTGGAAACAGATTGAAACAAATATTAAAATGATTGTTTTGCTTTAGTGTATTTTTTCTCCTTCTTTGAGAAATGGAAGCAACATATTCAGTTAAACATTTCTAGTTTTATGTTATGCTGCCAGAGAATTTCAGTTTAACCACAAGACTGCATATAAATGATACATATTGTATCAAAACTGTATCGGTTACCAGGGGAATGAGCCAGGCAGTTTGGCAAGCTAATAGACAGCAATGTTTGTGGGAGACGGTAGTCTGTTGTTAAAAAGGGGATTGTTTAATTAACAGGGAAGAATTAGAAGATCTGGATAGTCTGATAGCTGGAACTAAGATTGTGGATCTTTTGCTATGTTTGCCAAGAGAATGTACAAAAAAAAACTTTCCTGAATTTTATTTCAGGGGTTTCCACTTAACTTGAGTTTTTTTGTTTAAGATCTCTTGTCTAGGTCTGAAAAGTTCTGCTCTCTCTTCTCATTCAATGATAGTACTTACAGACATAAAATGACTTTTTCTATATGTTTCCTCCAAAATTATTCTTTCTTTATGTCTCTTGAGTGGTTGCCAATGCTCCAATCGGTTAACTATTAGACAAGGTTTTCAGTAAGAATAGTGACCCTTCCAACCATAATTAATGCTGGGATTGTGGTCCCACAGATTGGAGACATTTGTTAGCTATTTCTACTCTCGATTGAAACTTTTTTTTAAAAAAAGAACATTGAGTCCTCTTCCTCCAAGACTGATCTATATTTTTCTGTTGCTAACCAGCTTATTTTATTAGTTGTATTGTATAATTGGATTGTTTTAATTATTTTATAATTGTTGCTGCTATGTATTTTATCTTACTATGTGCATTGCTGGCATCGAATTGTGCCTTTTGTAAGCTGCCCTGAGTCCCCCTTTGGGGGTTGAGAAGGGCAGGGTAGAAATGCTCGAAATAAAAATAAATAAATAAATAAATATCACTAGCTGTGCCCTGCCACGTGTTGCTGTGTCCTATAGGGAAGGAAGGAAGAAGGAAAGGAAGTGAGGGAAGGAGGGATGGGAAGGGGGAAGGAAGGGAAGGAAGAAAGGGGAAGAGGAGAGAAAGGAGGAAGGGGAAGGAAGGAAGGAGGGAGGGAGAAAGGGAGGGAGGGAGGGAGAAGCCTGGCCCAGTGCGACCCTGGCCGAAGCCGCTCTGGTGAGAGAGAGAGAAACGCCGCTGACGCAAGCGGCGAGGGGCTTTGCACGAGGCCTGACCAGGCCACGTGGGCCGCATCTGGCCACGGTGAGGGAGGGAGCTGGGTGCCGCTCGCTGTGCCAGTTCTATTTGTATGGCTGTGCGTGTGCACACGCTTGGCTCTCAGTGCTGTAATGGCTGCTCTTCCTTTGTGTGGATTTTTGGGGTTTCTGCTGTTTCTTTGGGGGTTTTTTTGAGTGGAGGACATAAATTGGATTGTTAGGTATCTTGTGTCCAAATTTAAAAAGCACTGACATTTCTATTATTTTTGCCACAGTACCATTTATTGTCTTTTTGAATACCTGGTTGGGAAAATAAACCGACACTGGTGCTTCCTCCTCTTAGCGGAATAACTCTTGACTTATCCATGAGTCATCTCAAAATCCATAATGTTGACCAAAACCTACCCTCAACTTACATGAGGTCAACTTATACAAAAGTATATATAATATTTTTGAAGTCAGAGATGAAAATGTAATATATACTTACTTTCCTCCACATCCCAGCATTGGGTGACGGGGTCTCCATATTTGACATCTTGTCTCCTTGCACGTCTAAAACAAAAGAAGCATAAATGATTAAATGAGTGTTTCAAGTTTTATCTACCTTTTACAGGAGCACAGGAAGATGTTTTACACTGAGTCAGAGCACTTTTTCACAAAGCCCAGTATTGCCAGCTCTAACTGGTAATGGTTCTCCAGAATTTTGAGCAAGACACTTTTCTAGCCCTACCAGGAGTTCCCTGATATTCCCTGCCAGTTTCTTATCCAAGTAGTCATCAGGCAATGCTTAGCTTCCAAAATCAAATGAGACAGGCATCATTCGATAATCTCATACTACTCTCAGTATGAGATTATCTAACTTGATGGTATTGTCTTATTTGGATGCAGGATGCAGCTTAGATGCATGCCATGTATGTCTGTACCTCATTTGCTATATGTACAAAAAGTAATAGATCGTATATATGAATGAAGTAATACAAAGATAATAATCATGACAGAGCTTTCATATGCTCCATTGCCAGGGCAAAACAATTAATTTCAGTAGAAGAAGCCCACATCTAGAATGGTATCAAAGGAGGTAAGATGTAGAAAATCCAGCTGTTGGGATGGGGATGAAGTATAAAATTAAAAGTCAGAATGTCCTCCTTGTGATAGTTTTAGAAAGCCATTTCAAATGGAGAAATGGCATAGCACAACATTCTTCTTTGTTAATTCCCTCCTTGGGGAGATTTTAGACAAAGAAACTGATTTATTACTTATTACTGTGAGTAATAAAAAGTACTTAGATTAAAAGGTTTTCAAGTGAAAAAGACCAACATTGACATTTGTGTAAATGATAAACAGTGTATCATCTAGCATGGAACACAGAGACACAGAAATTTGTTCCTGGGTGGGATTTCAAAAATTTTGGCATCCTGGTTAATATCTCAGGTCCCTTATACACTGCCACATATGTACAATCCAGATCACCTACGTAATTTTTCAACGGTAAGCAAACAGTATTCCCCCCCCCCCTCGCCCCACCAATCACTGATATATATTTTCTGTTCATCATGGGAGTTCTGTGTGCCATATTTGGTTCAATACCATCATTGGTGGAGTTCAGAATGCTCTTTGATTGTAGGTGAACTATACATCCCAGTAACTACAATTCGCATATGTCAAGGTCTATTTTCCCCCAAGAGTGCCTCAAGAGTGCCCCTGTGTAATAAGAATTTCAATGTGCAGATTTGAGAAATGTGAATTTAATAATGATGTGTGGAAATGAATGCAAGAATGGAAGGATGTGTGGTTGGAGTTAATAATTTTGGAAACACCAGTATAATATTAAGGCCTGCAATAACTAACTACCTGCTTGCTGGAACTGTGATGAAAACCTGTTAATGAGATCTGAAGAGTAAACTCTGATAAGAACTGGGACAGTGATAAAGGAAATGTTTGCAACCTTCCTTATGTTAAGAAGGAAGTCAACATAAGATCAACACCAATCAAGAAGATCAACATCTGGCCAGGAAACTGAGATGGATCCAGGATGGAAGATGTCTATCATTAATTTACAACTTTGGGACTACATCAGCAGAATATTTCTATAAAAGACTCAGTCTAATAATGCTCAAATTGTGGCAGACTGAGGAGTCTGTTCCACCCGCCATGCTCTGCTCCATGGAAAGAGAGAAATGGTGTATTCAGATAGTGGCAGATCTGCACAGGAGCAGTCTGGTCACTTTGGCCTTCTTTCTCAAGGGAAGAGGAAGAAGTGCGCTTTTGGAGTCTTGGATTTTGTGCAGGGAGTCAGTTTCTGCTGTAGGGAAAACAGAGATCTGGTCCTTGGCATTGTTCTTAGGGAAAGAAGTTTTGGCATCTCAGCGTTTTGAAGTTTTGGCGTTATTGAAGTTATGGAACTATGTGCTGGCAGGCTGCAGGAAAGCAGGGTCTGGTCTAACAAGGAGGGAGAAAAGGATATGGTAATATTTGGATGCATGTGGATGAATGCGTGTACATGTGCGTGAATGTTGAGTGAAAATGTAACTCCCCTTTGTTTGTTTGTTAACCAATGTAATTATGAATCCAATGTAGTTGCATAGAATCTGTATGTCTGTATGTCCAATGTAATTCTTTGTCTAAATATTTTCTATAATCTTATATACCTTCTAACACTGGAAATTGCAATAAAAAGAACCTATGCATGGTCCATGAGGTCACGAAGAGTCGGAGACGACTGAACGAATGAACAACAACAACAATGCTTTAAAATCATTGAAAAGTCATTCATGACACCTGGGAAAAATCAACTATACTGCAAATGCTTACTTTGCGAAATGGGTTGAGCTGCCTTTGATTATATGGCAGCGTAGACTCATAGATTTATATGAGTCTACACTGCCATATAATCCAATTCAAAGCAGGTAATCCGGATTGTACGTATGTGGCAGTGTATAAGGGACCTGAGATATTAACCAGGATCCCAAAATTTTTGAAATATAGATTATCTGCTCTGATAATCTGGATTATATGGAAATGTAGAAGGGGCCACGGAATCACAATTGACGATGCCAGACTTTGACTTCTTCCATGAAGCTGAAATTTTCTTATGTTATTACTGCCCTGAAAGAGTAGTAATGTGACAGTTCCTGTACCACTAGAGGTCATACAAGAATCTACGTTTAGACATGCACTGTGAAATCTAATAAACCAGGTTATGCTTTTTTCTCACCTTTTAGATGTCGGTGTATATCTGGAACATGAATTTCCATCCCAAGCACAGTATGGGTCTCTGGCAAGGCAACAATCTGCACAAGCCTTCCCATACGTATGACATCTGTGTAGTGAGAGCTGAGCCAATCCATCTCTGGACCCAATGTATAATTGTTGCTAAAAATCAAACACAGCAAAAGAATTAGAAACCTTCTACAAGCAACACTTCTTTTTTCCTTTCTTTCTTTCTTTCTTTTGGTCTCAAACATGTTTTAGGTATTTCTCATTTTTATAATGAGATGTTTCTGTTTTGCATACATGTCTAGGTAAATACCCATTTATACAGTTAACGTGATTTGTGTTCCAGGTTCTATGAAAAACCTATCTCTTACTCCAGTTCACATAGGTACAGGGACTATCAGTTATCAATTTCAGAAGTGTGCAACAGTTTGATATAGATGGAAAATCTCTTTTTCTGGTAATTTCAAGATCAAGCCTTTCTGTAGCTGGCCTATAACATAGTATGGAATCACGTTTTACTAATGATAAATTATTTTTGTAGTGACACCTATCTTAAAAATAAAAAACTGGCAATATAGTACCAGTATGGGATATGACCAAGGCAAATCTCTGATTAAACAACAAATAACTGACATTGAGCACCAATTAGACTTAGCCAATTCACCATCCTTTATTATCAATGGAGTCAGTAGGTTTTGTACCTCCCCTATGAAATATCTAACCATGTTCGAGGTTTCCAGCCATCAGAGGGGCTTCACTCTGGCACGTTGCCATGCTCTCCCATCTGCTGTATTGGAAGGTCGATACTGGAAGACCCCATACACCGAGAGACTGTGCCCTTGTGACTCAGGACACATAGAGACAACAGAACATGTGCTTCTCCAGTGCCTGTTCTATAGAGATATTTAATCCCGTCTCATTAAGTCATGGCTACTCAAACACCCGGGACAATTTTACATCTTCCTGCTGCTTTCAGATACGAATACGGCTACAAGTTCTGCATAGCAGCTATTAAAATCCGGCAGTCAATGACGAATAGCACCAGCTAGTACAAGTCAAGATTTCATACTAGCAGAAAATTGATTACACTCTTTTAATTCTAGTCTTTTTTATTATAGTAATGCAGTGGTTCTCAACCTGGGGGTCGGGACCCCTGAAGGGGTCGCGAGGGTCAGAGGGGTCGCCAAAGACCATCACAGACAGTATTTTCTGTTGTTCATGGAGTTCTGTGTGGGAAGCTTGACCTAATTCTAATGTTGGTGGGCTTCAGAATGCTCTTTGGTAGTACGTGAACTATAAATCCCAACAATTACAACTCCCAAATGTCAAGGTCTATTTTCCCCGAATTTCACCAGTGTTCACATTTGGGCATATTGAGTATTTGTGCCAAGTTTGGTCCAGATCTATCATTGTTTGAGTCCACAGTGCTCTCTGGATGTAGGCGAACTACAACTCCAAAACCAAAGTACAATGCCCACCAAACCCTTCCAGTATTTTCTGTTGGTCATGGGAGTTCTGTGTGCCAAGTTTGGTTCAAGTCCACTGTTGGTGTAGTTCAGAATGTTCTTTGATTGTAGGTGAACTATAAATCCCATCAACTACAACTCCCAAATGACAAAATCAATCTCCCCCCACACCCCACTAGTATTCAAATTTGGGCATATTGGGTATTTGTGCCAAATTTGGTCCAGTGAATGAGAATACATCCTGCATATCAGATATTTACATAACGATTCATAACAGGAGCAAAATTACAATTATGAAGTAGCAACAAAAATAATTTAATGGCTGGGGGTCACCACAACATGGGGAACTGTCTTAAGGGGTCGCGGCATTAGGAACGTTGAGAACCACTGTAGTAATGGGTTTTGCTCTCTCCCCTGTCTGTGGACTTCCCTTCCCTGTGCTACATGAGCACCCCAATCCCCTCCCTTCAGACTCCCCCCCCCCCATTTAACTCCATTAATTTTGGTATACTCTTGTCTTGATGTTCTGGAAATAATGCATTTGTTTTTAGAGTTTTAGAGTTTTAAATTTAAAATATTGAAGTTTTAGAGTTTTAAATCTCTTGACCCTTAGACCTGATTTGTTTGTGCAGGACTGTTTCCCTCTTCTCATGAGCTAGTCATTGACTGTAATAAAGTGAACTTGAACTTGAACTTGGTAATACAGTATAGTGAATAACATTTCTTGCTTTTTTAAAATCTAAAATTAAAATCTCAAGCTCTATATCAACATTATCTCTTAAGTACAAAGCTCAAATTTAAAATAACAACAAAGTAACAGTTATACAGATGGAAATAGCTACCTATCCTTTCACAGAAAGATATGAAATGCAGCGAAAAGTTACTTTTTGGACCCCAATTCCAGAATCTGGAAGCCAGCCTGCTGCAGATTATGGGATCTCTTCTCCAAAACCAACATTTCCAAACTCTGAAGATGTGAGCTATGAAGGTGGCTGAAGCACCAGCCAAATCACATTTAAAACTTATCTATGCTTGAAAAAAATTACATAATGTGGGAGACATTTTCTTGAACTTTAAAAATACTTCCTGGACTCTCTTTATAGTATTAACAGAAGACAATACCAGTTCAGAGTAGTAGTAGAAGAAGAACTTTATTTTTCTACCCCGCCTCCATCTCCCAAGGGACTTGGGGCGGCTTACATGGGGCCCAAGCCTAAGGCAGAATACAATTAAAAACAAAGCAAAACAATTTAGACAGCATAAACAGTGTAAAACTGTAAAACAACAAAACAATAATAGCTAGCAACAACAATAACAGCAGACTAATTTTGGAGGGTGGCAGGTTTTACAATGTATTGTAAATGTATTGTACATTTGTATTGTACTGTATTACAATGTATTGTAATATAGCTGAGTCATGCACTGCTAATAGGCTTCGATTGGGAATGCTGAGTCATGCATTAACTGCATATAGGGAATCATTTGGGGAATGTGTTCTGGTCTAGTCCAGGTGATTGTGAATGATGTAATCCTGGGTCTGAGTTAAGTCAATGAGTTGGGAACCAATCAGTTATTGCTATGTGTAAATGAATTGTATATAAGGAAGTCATGTACAGTGTATATTTCTCCTTGTGCTGTGATGTTGTTCGTCGAAGGCTATATGTAATTAAAGAACCTGTCTGCAAAGACAAGATATAACTGTATGCTGTGGTAAGTTTGTAATATCATCTAGACTGGGAGAAAGACAATGGTAAAACTGACAATGGCCAGGCATATGCTCAAGTGTCTGTAAAAGGTTCCAGCATGGCTGCAGGTTGTGGAAGCAGTTGACTGAAAATACTGTGCAGGAAGAAGCTACTGGAAAGTGCTGAAGTTGTGCAACTGATCTGCTGCTGAATTGTGAAATTAATCTCAACAGAGGGGGAGAGGAAACCACTACATGAACTAGTTAAAGGATAAGTGGTTTAGTAAGGTGGGTAAATAATAGGGCTGGGCAACCACGGAAAAATTTGTTTCTAAACTCGATTCGTTTTTAGGGGGTTTTTGCGTTTCGATTTTTAAAAGAATTCCGAAATTTTCCTTAAAAATAGTTCAAAATTTACAAAATTTCAGAAATTACGAAACAATTACGAAACAATTACGAATTGATTCGTTAATGGCGGGCGCGATCGTGCAATACGCTAAAAAAAACCTCTCCCTCTGTTGTTGACTGTTGGTGTGATAATTATATATTTTTTCACTGATAAAACAAACAGCAACCCTAAAACTTGCACCAGACATGCGGAAATAATAACGAAACAATTTCGAAACGATTTCGAACCGTTTTCGAACCAATTACAAAACGAATTGGAAAAATTCGTTTCGTTTTTTAGTTGCTCCTGAATGGTTCAATATCGCTTCGTTATAAAAAAAATAACGAATTAACAACGAATTACGAAATTAACGAATGAAACCGCCCAGCCCTAGTAAATAAGTAAGTTCTAGCTTTTACTCAGAGTAATCCTCGAGGAAGTATCCTCCATTGAATACAGTGGTACTTACTTCTGAAAAAAAAATGTATCGTGCATTTGGGCATCACTGTGCCTAATGTTTCTGGATCATGCATCTAAGTGAGTAGGATTAATATAACTTTACCATCACTCCTTTTTTTTACTTTCTTTCATTATAGGTTTAACAGAAATAGACATGTATTCAGAATAAAATATAATGATTCTGATAAAGGAATTGGTAGAATTGGTAGAATGACAGTGGTTAAGGAAGATGATTTGTGTATGCTGGGGGAAAATCAAACATTAAAAAACCACAAAGAGTGTTAACTTCCACACATCAGCTGAAATGTAAGCAATTTGGATATTCTAAAATTACTCATTGCAAATTACCTGCTTTGGAGACATCTCCATAGTCAAGATAGGTGATGGGTGCTGAAAAATGAATGAACAATAGTTGGAGGGATGCAGCAGTACTGTTTGCATTTCTCTTGAATACAAAGCTCTTATTCAGCTATGCTCTCAATGAGTTAAAGGTGTTTTGTTTTGTTTTTCCCTGGAAGTTGAGAGGGATTCATTTGTTAGTGCATTCATGCAGACATGCATATTAATGCCATCTGCTGCTGGAAAAGAATGCTGTCTCTTGCAACCAGATGCCTTTATCCACTTTTCAGATTTCGTACATGGTCCTGGAGTGGCAACATGGCAGATGTAGAGAAGACACTTCTTTTAGGTTCTCCTGAGACTAACTCTCATCTTTTTTACTCAACGCAAATAAAAGGATAGTTCTTTTACAATAAGAATTTTAATACTGTACTTTCACTTTTATCAAAAAAAATCATTACATTCTCTGAGGACAGTGGGTTTTTTACGTAACAGGAGTAACTTGAGAAACTGCAAGTCACTTCTGTTGTGACAAAATTTGCTGTCTGCAAGAACGTTGCCTAGGGGAAGCCTGGATGTTTGATGTTTTACCATCCTTTTGGGAGGATTCTCTCAAGTCCCCGTATGGGGAGCTGGAGGTGACAGAAGTAGCTCAACCCACTCTCCCCAGATTCAAACTGATGACCAGGGTTTAACTCATTGCACCATCATGAGCTCAAGGACAATGGTGAAAGATCTTTTTGAATGTCCTTTGGGAAAATTGTAGTGATGAAAAACTGAGCCAGCACTAGATCTTTCTCCTTGAGGCAGAATAACCTCAACTTTTACATAGGTGGCATTAAAATACATAACTTTGCCATCAAAAAAATATGCCAATGATTGGGGCTGCATCTACACTGCCAAATAATGCAATTTGAAACTGCATGATATGGGCAGTGCAGACCCATATAATGCAGTTCAATTAATGGTAGTGTAGGTCCAGCTTTATACACAAATACATATGACACTACATGATTATGGTCTTCCTGTCTTAAGTCCTACACTTCTCCTACATTTCACACTGAAGTTGAATATGTTTGGCTGGTTTTTGTAAGCCCTGCCAGAGAATGTATAGGCACTTTATCTATGATATTTATTTTGAGAAAATCATGCAATCAATATAACTGAACTAGTGCTGTTAGGGTGAGAAGTCTCTTGCTATACAATAACTTAATTTTAAGATGTCTTCTTCCTATATTTAGTGTATATTCCAGGCCGGCAAGAAAATCAATCTGAGAAATGATACTTTTGCCATAGTACATCTTTGGATAACTTATTTTTTAGTTGGCACAGTTGTAGTAATTGCCTTCTTTCAGAAAGCTTAGAATATGTTTTCATAGGGGTGTAATTTTTCACTCATTTTCTTTTTAAAAGAAGCCATAAGCAATATTACATTTTTCTTCCTGAAAGAAAAAAGTCTCCAAATTCCATACAGTTTTGAAAGACTTTTTGCAATTTGGTACTTATTCTGCCCCAAATTTGCACTCTGGCAACATTTTTTTTAAAAAAAGGTTACAGCATTTTGAGCATAAAGAACAACATTGTTGCATAGAATTCTTTTCTGCAAAGAAATTTCTATTTTCAGTATGGAAATTTTGTATAGAATGAGTCACAACTGCAGCATTTTCAGCACAGCAAATAATATTTCATTCTTCTGCTTATAAAATGTTTATTTGTGAAAGAAGTGAAACCTTTCCCTCAAAATGGCTACATGCAAATTGTGGACAGAATAAATCTCAAAATGTAAAGATTCTCATCATTCCAACATTCTTCTCAACGTTTCAAAGATCTTTTCCAACTTTTTAAATCATTTTTAATAGTCCTTCAATCTCCAGTTTTTTAAGCTCCCAGCAATCCCACAAAATACTTTCATGAAATACAGTAAGGTTCAATTGGTCACCTTAGCAGTTTCAAAATGGTGCAATGGTTTCTGTTTCCCCTGGCCAGGAATTATCCTTTAGAACTTGAGAGACGAATGAGTGAACTGCACCCATAGAAAAGAAATAGTGCAGGTATAGACTCTGTCTGTGATGGTTCTATGTCTACATATCATCACTTACTGAAATCACTTTTTGGGGGATATGGAAGCTCCTTGTTAAGGTTCTGAGTATGTTTTGTATTTTTAAATTCGTCATTGTCTTTTTACAAAAAAAAATCCCTAAAACCTGAATTATCTTACACATGGGTCAATGTCTGAACAGGATGACAAGAGGTAGTAGGGAAGACAGGTTTTCATAGGAAGCCCTTACTTAAAATGGCCACTGCAGAGAAAGCACTTGTTAAAAATGGCCACCATTGTTTCAAGCCACTTCAAGCATTGCATTCTTTAGATTCCCTACAATATTTATTTATCACCAATTGGGCCAGAAAAAGTGGAGTGGAAGAAGGAAGGACTGCCTTTCTTTCTCCAGTTTGGGTAAGCAAGGAGTAATGTGGCAAGAGCTGATCACCTCAAACTTTTGTCACTGCCTTCACATTAACAGAGGAAGGTTGCTTTCCTTGCTCTTCTATTTCCCACTTTTTCGTGTTACATTCTCATTAGTTTTCCTCATTTTTTTCTATCTGTATTTTTATCAGTCCAGACTTTTTGATATCAACAATGCAAATCCCCACCCCAACCCATGTAACTCCTCAAATAAATATATCTCTTTATCTTTAGATCTTCCTAAATATGTTCTCTACATGCATTTTTGAAGGACAGAAAGAAGTTTGTTACATATCTCAAAGTTTTACCTTTGATTTATGCATGGGTAAAACGAAATCCATAATTTTGGCACCAAAATCTGCCATTGACCTATATATCAAATTGACTTATACATGAATATATATAACAACACCATTTTCAAGCTAAGCAACGCTCTTCCCATAGACTCTCCATGAGCTGAAAGAAAGACAACACCCAGAACTTTGTGCCACATGCATAGAGCCCTGGGAAATTCTACATCAAATGATGTAATCTTGTTGTGGCTTTGCATAAAGAATATGGACCACACCTACTTATCATTTTCTATTTTTCTTTTCTAAATCAGAGGCATAATTTATAATGTGGAGGAACATCTGCTGAGCTAATAGCCCTATTTGGTATTAAATCTGATATGGCACTTTTCCCTTTGACGCGATGTTGTAAATATGCAGCAAATTGGTACATGCCTCAAAATTCCAGAATACTTGGCAGTAGTCAAGCATTCTTGGCATTTTCAAAGTGGAATGAAGTGCCATTAGTGTCCATGGCAGTAAAATGACATTGAGAGCTTTAAAGCAAGAGGTAGTCCATCCCTTTGGCCAAAGTATCAAAAGCACATGGGGAGATTTACTTAAAGGGGAAAAAATCCAGAGAGGCTTATGGAAATAGCATTTCACCAGCTTTCAAAGTCATCAGAATGTTGTGGGGAGGCCAAAGGTTTGACCTGAAATTGACTTTCTAAGGATTGTGATGAAAATGCATGATAAATATATCAAGAACATCTCATTACATCATAATTACTGGCAACGATGCTATCTTGATCAACAGCCCAGAGCAAACACCGCTACTTGGGATACGTGTATCTTCCACCATGAGTAATTTGGCAAGTGTGATCAAAATTATTCTGGCTTCACTTGACATTACTAGAGATGTTTTGCCCAAGCAGAAACTTGAAAACATACCTCAGCTTTGACATCATGTAAACTTCAGTGTCATTTCTGCTGTGAACATTTAGTTTTGTTTTTCTCAATGTTACTTCTATAGAATTTTGACATAAACATTAGCAAACTTTTGAATCTCTCTCTTTTGTAAAAAGTAATCAATTCCTTTCTCATATGCCTTTAAAAGTAACAACACTGGTCCATATTTTTCTTGAAACAATTGTAACATCCCACATTTTTCAAGTGCTGATTTCTATTCATTGTAATCAAGTGGTATTTAATATTACCTTGAATATCTGTAACTCCTCGAGTACCACCTCCTCCATGTCCCACTTCTCTTTTGTTATGCTCAAAACTTTCAGTACTGTTCCAACATCTGAAATAAAAGAATATTGTAGATGGGAACCAAGTGATTATGTGTTGACACATTGGAAACAGTCTATTTCTAAATTTGTAATTATATTTTTCTTCTCCTTTAGATAAATCTTCCATGTGGAAATGCCACCAAAAACAGCAGCCTTGCATTGAGTTTTCTCGTCTTACTCAACAGTTTTTTAGACTGACCCATGCCATACTGCATCGGTTTTTCCTTTCATTTCATTAAGGTTGAGGGAGATTTGGGTCTTGAAATCTTGTGGATATCAGCACCCACAATTGCTTCCCACTGATGATATTGACTGAGGCTTCTGGGAGCTGAAATGCAAAACATCTAGACAGCCAAAGTCCTTGCTTTACATAGGTGGCTGCACAGCTGGCATGTGGATATACCTAATTCTTAACAAGAGAATTTGATATGGAATCATGTTTTCTAATTTACCACCATTACATAAAAAGAAGCTATACATGTAATTCCAGTATGGTGTGTGCACATTCAGAGTGAGAATCAAAAGGGATCTTTATTCTGAGTACCGTAAGAATTTTATTATATACAACTTGTGTATAGAGTAACTGTATTCAAACAAATCCCATCACATTGCATTAACTCCAGAAACTATGGACACTAGTGGATTTATTGACAAAGTATATTTATTTCAATCTTGTTTGCCCACCTGTGCTATGCTGTTGTTGTGTGCCTTCAAGTCATTTCTGACCTATGGCAATATGATAAATATCACAGATTTTAGTTCATAAAACTTGTTCAGAAGAGGTTTACCTTTTTCTGAGACTGAGTGTGACTTGACCAAGGTCACCTAGTGGGTTTGTTGTGGTACAGCGTGATAGTAGCATTGCTACTACTGGGAGAAGGGAGAAAAGGGCTGCTCAGATGTTGGAGGAGGAACAGCAGCGGAAGCGAATTAGGGGCATCTTCATGGCTCCAACAGATTCTGAGGATTTCGAGGGTTTCTCAGAGTGTGAAATGGAGGAAGGTGAGGAAAGCAGGGGAGTCAAGCAGTCTACTCGTGAACCAGATTCAGATGAAGAGCTTCAGAGGAAGCGTATCCGTGATATACATAGTGCTCCAACATCTGATAATGAATTTGTGGGTTTTAACAGGAGTGATGGGACTGGGAGTGATGTTGAGGAGGAGGATGGCTTAGATTGGACCCGTGTACAGGAAAGGAAATTAGGGACATATGTACTCAGCCTACCTCCAGTGATGACTTTGAGGGGTTTGCAGAAGAGTGACAATCTGGGAACACTTAGGAGGACCTAAGTCTTGACAGACACTGGCAAAGGTGGAGAGATGGGAAGCAGTGCTCAGCTGCAGGGAATGGGGCAGCTGAAAGTGATGATGAAAGGGTGGGGAGCAGTTCATCCTCTGAGGAGGAGTTATAGGATATAAGTTGGTTTGGTTTCAATGGGTTTTTGCAGAAGGCAAAGTGTCTTTTTGGGTGTGAATCTTTGTTCCTGCCATTACTTTCAAGCTTGGGTCCTTGGACTACAGATCTTCGTGTTTCGGTGACTTCTGACTGATACTTCGTAAGTGCTGACTTCAACTCTCCCTTTTTGACTCTGGACCGTGTTTGACGACGACTACACCTTTTGGACTGTTTCATCTTGTTTTGGATGTGACTGGACTACAGACTACTTTTGGACTCTGATTTTGCTTGCTCCCACCTTGTTTTTGTGTGCCTTTTGGACATTCTGAATTACAAGTGGATTGCTGTATCTTTTTGTTATCCCAGATTATATCCTGGGATAATCTGGATTATATTTAAATTGAGTTTTTTGCTCAGCGGTTGCTATAGACTTTTAGTTTGTGCTAGAGACACTGAAGCAAGTGTCTCTAAACCTTTTTTGTGTTTAATAAACTTGTGTTTGGACCTTTTATATTGTGTTTGGCTTATTTAGGCTTCTGGGTCTTGACAGGGTTTCATGGTCAAATAGGGATTCAAACCCTGATCTCTAGAGTAGTAGTCCAATGCTCAAACCACTACACCACATATACTCTCAGTCTTGTGATATGGGGACTCTAAATTAAGGAAGAAGATAAATATTTTATTCAGATCTATCTGAATGGCCATGCCTTGAATATTTAAACATCCTCCAAGCATGGACTACAATCTTTCCTGAGTGTTGAGAACTGTGGTCTGCTTGTCACTCATACTTCATAAAAGTGTTATGCAAACTTCACTCCATGGAAACAGCAATGACACTGCAACAAACTATCCTGGGTTACTTCCAGTGTTTTCCCTTCCTTGTTGTCTAATATTCCAAAGCTACGCATGGGATGTGCATATGGCAGTGATTAAACACACAAAAATCCTGGATTGAATAACTGAAAATCAAGTCTGGAAATGAACATACAAAAAGATACCTTATTGAACTTATTTATTGCAATAAGTTTAATGCTGCACAATGTTAAATAGCCTCTGAGTGTCTGTCTATATATGTTGTGTGTCTGTGGCATTGAATGTTTGCCATGTATATGTACATTGTAATCTTCCCTGGGTCCCTTGCAGGGTGAGAAGGGTGGACTATAAATACTGTAAATAAATAAAATAAATACATAATGTCAGCATTCTACAAAACCATGGGATGTGATGTTTGGTGAGAGATTGAAGTTTCTGGCTCAGAAATGTAAATCCCTCTCTGTAAATCACAAGTCCCAGGATTTCATCAGATGGAATCATAGTAGTTAAAGTGGAATCCCATGAATATAATGCTGCACTGTGAAAGGGTCTCCGGACATCTTTGAGATCTAAAGTCACATTCTGAACACAATCTGCTAAATCTCCTTCGTATCCATTCTGTACACAAACTTAGACAATCTCAATATTTATTTATTTGCCCCACACTTTATATTTCCTTTTAGTACAGAACACTGAAAGGAGTGTGTTTCCAAAATGTGTATTCCTTTGCTCCCCATCACGGGATCCAAAATCACTTACCTGCACAGAACACTTGTGATTCAAGATAGACAAAAATGATTACTTGATCAAGGCCATACTATGTGTTTTGTAGATGTTTGGGTTTTAACACTCAGTTAAACATTTTGATCTCTAAACAGCAAATGGATTGTGCTTCTGACTGCAAGATAAGGTTTACTCTGCTTTGACTTGACATATAATATCTTTAAAATAATATAAGAGCAGGCAGAGATGGGAAAAGCTCTCTTTTTTGGATTAATGCTCCTAGAATCCTATAGCAAGAATTTCCATAGTTATTGTGCTGATACGGCTGTACCAGGAGCTCCAACTTTATTTGCTTTGTATTAAATGTTTGTCTGCAGTCCTAGGTTGCAGGGACTCTGCAGATAGGTGGCTTCCTTTGGTTGCAGTCATAGGGCAAGTCACCTGTCCATCATTGTTAAGTTTTGGTCCCGCCCCTTGCTCAGGGCAATTGGGAAGGGAAGGGAGCCATTTTTAGTTAGTCTCAGCAAGGAAAGCTAATGTACAGGACGTGTGCAAGCTTCCCCTGTACAAAAGCTTCAACCCTCAAAACTTTCCGGGGAAAAACAGTCTTAAGAGTCTCCAAAGATTTCCAGGAAAACAGCCCTAAAGACCAAAGAACTCCAGCTGGAGAATATCAAAGCCTTTACTGGTAGGTCCACTCGGTGCTTCAAGACGCAGTTCGACCTGGTAGCGGAGCCCACATCAGTAAGGGTTAGATTACAGTCAGTCTGGGAGAAGTTAAAAAGGGAATTTTCCATTTAAAGTAAAGAAGAAGTTATTGAAGACAGTTGCCTGTCCTTTGTGGGCAAGTCACCAGTTGCATAAAGCTTGGAAGCATTTTTGTTTAGCTTTATTGAAGACAAGAGAAGTTTCTGTTTGATTGTTCATTAATAAAATACTTCGTTATACTTCAAAAGCCATCTAAAGATCATTTGTGGTGGAAAACCTCTGAGAACTTCTATTTGGGCCCCCTGGCTGCCCACTGGGCAAAGGTTGCACGTCCTGTTCTAAAGGAAATTCCTTACAGGCCCAGTGCGCGACAGAACAGTTATGCTATCAGGGTGGATATTCTGAGAGTTTTGGTCCATAAAAGGAACTTTTCAAATTTTTACTCTTAAGAATCTTAGTTCTAACTATTTAGATTCTTCAGTCTTTCCTGGCCTCTGTTGAAATTATGGACTGCCACCTACTGACTGCAAATATCCGTTTGAATGAAGAACAACAATGGCATTGAGGCTACTTATGAATTAAAGTAGTATAAATTATAATGCTTAGATGGCATGCATTTTTCCTTTATTTCTGATCAAAATTATACAACTAAACCCTATTTCAGTGTGCTGATTAAGAGCTGCCTTAGGGGATACACATTTAGGAAATATCAGCTACAATAGTTGTGAGACAAGAAGCCAGACAGGAGGGGAAATTGGCAGCCACACTTCATGCAATGCAGACTTTTGATATTCAACCATGTGTTACCCAAACTATGGTTGGCAAGAGCCCCGAAACCACGATTTCACATGCCAACTGACAACCAAGCTTTAACTATGGCTAAAGAAAACAGAACCAAATTGAATAGTTTTGAATGCATACAGTTGTTAAAACAATGTAATGCTCAAAAAATAAACAGGCTTCCTTTTGGGAAGTGAATGCCATTCTATAACTTTATGCTAAGCCCTCTCAGTAGGACAAAAGGAGAGCATACCTCTGCACCCTCTCCCCATTCTGTGCCAGGCATTTCTCAATTCCAACCACTTATATGGCCGATACAGCTTACACTATGTATTTTCTGTTATATGGATTAGGTCTAGAAAAGTTAGTCTCCTAAGGGTTAAACTCAGTGATGGATGGTGGCCTCAATATCAGTAAAGTGATGAAGTCACTCTGGATTTCAGTCTGAACTTTAAAGGAGTTATACAAGGTGCTGACTCCTATTCCAGCAGCTCCTTCCCATTAAAGTAATCTCAGTTCTTTGAAAGGGTTGTTTAAAGTCATGCAAACAATACCTGCTGATTTTTTTTCCTTTTGCACAAACATAAAAAACACGAGGGTTGAATGAAAAGTAATGCCTCCACCTTTGTTACTTGGGTTTAGATGGGAATATTTTAATAAGTGAAACGGAGAAATAATCCTTAGAATGTGCTCTTTAACTACCACTTTTCACTTTTCCACATAATTATCAGACAATTGGATAGAGTTCTGCCAATGATGAACAAGTTTTCTGAAGCCATCACGGAAGAAGTCAACACTCTGTTTTCACAATCAGCATCTCACAATTCTCTCAACATCTTCATAAGAAGCATAATGATGTCCCCGCAGATCTTCTTTCATTATCAGGAAGAGATGGGAGTCAGACAGTGCTAAATCTGGACTGTATGGGAGATGTCATACGGTGGTGAGCTTCAGTCTCTGAAGTTTCAAGACTGTGAACTTTTGTTTCAGGCATCAACATCCTGGGTACCCATCATGCACAGATCTTCTGATAGCCAAGCAAAGCTATAATGTGACGCACACATTCTTGTGAAATGCTGATTATGATTGAAATTTCTCTCAGAGTGATACGACGATCATCCTGAAACAACCTGTCAACCTTTTGCTTGTGAAACTTGGTGGTTGCTGTCACAGGACATCCAACTCTTTGTTTGTCACACAAGTCAGATGTTCCCACCTCAACATCTTAAACTTACTTGCCCAACGATGCACAGTACTCACATCAGCCACATAAACAGCTTGCATTCTCTGATTAATCTCCTTTGGGGTGACACTTCTGCGCAATATATGGCCATGTTCTAGAGGCATTCTCTCCTGACGTTTCGCCTGCATCTATGGCAAAGCATCCTCAGAGGTAGTGAGGTCTGTTGGAAATAGGAAAAGAGGTTTATATATCTGTGGAATGTGTGTGCCAAGTTTGGTTCAATTCCATCATTAGTGAAGTTCAGAATTGTCGGGTTTTACAATGTATTGTAATGTAATATAGCTGAGTCATGCACTGCTAATAGGCTTCTATTGGAAATACTGAGTCATGCATTAACTGTATATAGAACTTCATTTGGGGAATGTGTTCTGGCCTGGTCCAGGTGATTGCGAATGATGTAATCCTGGGTCTGAGTTAAGTTAATGAGTTGGGAACCAATCAGAGATTGCTATGTGTAATTGTATAGAATTGTATATAAGGAAGTCATGTACAGTGTATATCTCTCCTTGTGCTGTGATGTTGTTCGTCGAAGGCTCTATGTAATTGATTAAAAGAACCTGTCTGCTAAGACAAGGTATAACTGTGTGCTGTGGTAGGTTTGTAGTGTCATCTAGATTGGAGGAGGAAACAATAGTAAAACTGACAATGGCCAGGCATGTGCTCAAGTGTCTGTAAAAGAGTTCCAGAGTGACTGCAGTTTGTGGGAGCAGTTGACTGAAAATACTGTGCAGGAAGAAGCTACTGGAAAGCGCTGAAGTTGTGCAACTGATCTGCTGCTGAATTGTGAAATTAATCTCACCTTCAACCCCTAGAAATCCTAACAGCTGGTAAACTGGCTGGGATTTCTGGGAGTTGTAGGCCAAAAACATCTGGGGACCCCAGGTTGAGAACCACTGCTCTAGAACATGGCCATATAGCCCGAAAAAACCTACAATCCACTTATTTATTTATTTATTTATTTATTTATTTATTTAAAGCATTTATATTCTGCCCTTCTCACCCCGAAGAGGACTCAGAGCGGAGCACAGCATATACATGGCAAACATTCAATGCCGGGACACAGATTCACATACAACACATAAACATTAAATAACATTTATCAAAACATTAAAATACACCATTTAAAAGCATCCTAGTAATGGTAAGAACAGACTGACAGTGCAATATTCCTCCATGGAATGGGGTTGGACCCAATATGGCCCTTGTGATATCTTCCAACTTTATGTTTCTAAGGTTCTATGTATATAAAGTTTATTTTGAAGAAAATGTCTAGATAGGATACATGTCATACATTACCTTATTTCCCATTACTCAACTTCCCAATCTTACCTGTCCCAAGGAACATGACATCATACTGCCCATCTTCAGCCATAACACGATCCACCACAATTTGAGTCAGTCTGTAGTCCACATTGATTTGAGTAAACACGGGGGCACCGGTCACTGGATAGACTGATTTGTGCATCACTGGATGGCGTTTTATGAAGCTAATGACATCATCAGGAAAATCTCTGGTGGACTTGATCAAGGGGTCATATGTTTTGCTGGGACACTAAAGAACAAATTCAGAAGAGAAGAACCAGATAAATTTTCCTTCTTTTCCTGCAGAAAACATAAGTTTGTATATAGTTTTTGTCTTGGTTGTCTACATAAAGCAACTCAACTAGAAATGGTTTAACAATTATCACCATATCACCATTCAATTGATGCTCAACTCCTGTCTAATCTGTATCAAACCTATACAAGACTTTTTTTTCATTATTCATCACAATGATGGGAAATAATCCACTCATAGAATCATAGAATCATAGAATCAAAGAGTTGGAAGAGACCTCATGGGCCATCCAGTCCAACCCCCTGCCAAGAAGCAGGAATATTGCATTCAAATCACCCCTGACAGATGGCCATCCAGCCTCTGTTGAAAAGCTTCCAAAGAAGGAGCCTCCACCACACTCCGGGGCAGAGAGTTCCACTGCTGAACGGCTCTCACAGTCAGGAAGTTCTTCCTCATGTTCAGATGGAATCTCCTTTCTTGTAATTTGAAGCCATTGTTTTGCGTCCTAGTCTCCAGGGAAGCAGAAAACAAGCTTGCTCCCTCTTCCCTGTGGCTTCCTCTCACATATTTGTACATGGCTATCATATCTCCTCTCAGCCTTCTCTTCTTCAGGCTAAACATGCCCAGCTCCTTAAGCCACTCCTCATAGGGCTTGTTCTCCAGACCCTTGATCATTTTAGTCGCCCTCCACTCCTGTTTCTTATTGGAGGACTGAAAAAAATAGCTCATTACTGGTACTTGCTTGTCTTATGTATTCATTGTCTATTACTTTCCATTAATCTTTGCTTAAAATTTAAAAACTCCTTACTATAGATAACAGCTTGGTTTTTGGTTTTTTTGTGTGTGCTTTTGGTCAAAATATCTCTAAGATAATCATTTCAAAAGGAGAAAACCATGAAAATGAACAAAATCTGGCTACCATTATTTTGGAAACTCAGGGTCCTCTTGACTGACTGTCTTTGGATTAAACTGAATGTCCATATTATTTTCTTGCTATACTTTAGCTATCTTGCAGTTTTTGAAATATATTTGTTGTGTCTCATTTCTTAACATAGAGATACACATACATTCATGGTCTTCACAAAGCTGATTTATTCATATAGATTAGCTATTGGAAAAACCTCCTTAAAAAAACTTTAATTAAACCTGCCTCTAGGGAACATATGGAATCAGGACACTGTCTGTTTTTCAAATTTACTTTTGTCATACTATCATTATAATAGTATTGCAATACTATCATTACAATATACAGAGCCCCCGGTGGCGCAGTGGGTTAAACCCCAGTGCCAGCAGGACTGAAGACCAACAGGTCACAGGTTCGAATCCGGGGAGAGGCGGATGAGCTCCCTCTATCAGCTCCAGCTCCTCATGCGGGACATGAGAGAAGCCTCCCGCAAAGATGATAAAACATCAATTCATTCGGGCGTCCCCTGGGCAACGTCCTTGCAGACGACCAATTCTCTCACACCAGGAGCAACTTGCAGTTTTTCAGGTCACTTCTGACATGATACGACATTACAATAAGTTGACTTTGCCTTATCAGTTAGTTTTACAAATTAAGCACAATATTCACCATTTGTCCTCAAGTGTATACTCAATTGAGATGAAATATTTCTCATTTAAGACTGATTACTCTCATATTCTTGCTCTTGTTTTTTTCATGTTAACCATGGCCGTCAGTGGATCTTTTTGATAACCACTAAAGAGTACTGGGAAATAGCATGAAATCTTTGTGTAGAGAATTCTTGTTTGCATCTTGAAGCATTTTGATTTTTGCTGTATCATAAGTCCGAGGGGATTGCACTTAATGTCAGAGTACATTATTGGTATCAATGGTAGGGTGAGCTAAAATGATAGAAATTGATTAATTAAACTTTTCTGCTCAGCAACAATCCAAGTGTAAGGTATTGCAGAAATCATGCCCAGCATTTCAAGGCACTACAGGTAAGTAAGTAAACTTTATTACGGTTGATGACTAGATCATAACAGGGGGACCCAGTCCCAAACATCCACGTAAAACCCAAGGGTTTATATGCTTCAGGCACCACAGGTAGAAAATCTGCAGGTAGGATCATAAAACAATTGTCTCCTTCATTTGGATTCAACAAAGAGAAATATGCCCAGTGTGCTTTTTAACTGTTCCTTAACTCCAATTGCAAAGACACACTGCCCCCTTGTGACTACTACAGGGAAAACAGTACTGTATTGTCGAAGGCTTTCATGGTCGGAATCACTGGGTTGTTGTAGGTTTTTCCGGGCTATATGGCCACGTTCTAGAGGCATTTTCTCCTGACGTTTCGCCTGCCTCTATGGCAAGCATCCTCAGAGGTAATGAGGTCTGTTGGAAGTAGGAAGTATATAAACCCATTTTCCTACTTCCAACAGACCTCACTACCTCTGAGGATGCTTGCCATAGATGCAGGCGAAACATCAGGAGAAAATGCCTCTAGAACATGGCCATATAGCCCGGAAAAACCTACAACAACCCGAAAACAGTAATGTTTTAATAAACTAGATAATGGTCCATAAAAAGTTTTTGTATTATAGAGTTTATAGTCTTTAGAATGCCAAGATATTTTCTTGGGTTTACTGCAACAAACTATTACTTCTCTGCAAAAATATTAGAACAAATGCAGACTTGCTACATTAAACCACACTGCAATAATTCCTTTTACTCTGACTCTCAAGTGATATAACGTTATCTACAGTACAGGCATGTAGCCGGGGGGGGGGGGGGCTTTGGGTTTAGCCCCCCCCCCCCACCCGAAATATTCATGGTGGTTCGCGAAAAGGCCTTACTGGTGCATTATTTAAACTGTTATGTTTATTCATATCATGATCTGATCACCATACTCAATATATCCCATATGCATGGGGGTATTGGGGTAATGATACAAAAGGTTTGCTAGGGTAGACCCTCTTTCACTCAGACTCAGCCCCCCCCCCCCCCCCCCGAATCAAAATCCTGGCTACGGGCCTGCTACAGTAGAAGATTATATATCAAAGATTGTGGCTCTACATACAATAAAATATAATGATAGGGAATCAGTTTGTTCAGCATAGATTGTTGAGTTGGGTTCATTTATTTTTACTATTATTGACCACAGGCCATCATAAAAATATAGCATCATAATGAATAATATTTAATTATAATCTAAAATACAGTTGCTTGGGGATATGATGATGATGATGATGATGATGATGATGATGGTGGTGGTGGTGGTAATAAAAAAAACAGAGTGTGGATCATCAATGCTGCAATCCCAGACAACAGCAAGATTGAAGAGAAGCAACTGGAAAAGCTGACACAATATGAGGATTTAAAGATTGAACTGCAAAGACTCTGGCACAAACCAGAGTCTTTATGCTTAAAGACCTTGGCCTGCACTTAAACACAACTGACGCTGACAAGATTACCATCTGCCACCGGGGACTCTGGTACAGAGGTAGCCTTGAGGTTACCAACTCATGCCCTACCATCTTTAGATCCTCTAATTCAGGGGTCCTCAAACTTTTTAAACAGAGGTCCAGGTCACAATCCTTCAAACTGTTGGAGGGCCGGATTATAATTTGACAAAAAAAATTGAATGAATTCCTATGCACAGTGCACATATCTTATTTGTAGTGCAAAAACACTTTAAAACAATACAATAATTAAAATGAAGAACTATTTTAACAAATATAAACTTATTAGTATTTCAATGGGAAGTGTGGGCCTGCTTTTGGCTGATGAGATAGGATTGTTGTTGTTTGCTTTCAAGTCATTTCAGACTTAGGTTGACCCTGAGCGAGGGCCGGATAAATGACCTTGGAGGGCCGTATCCAGGCCCCGGGCCTTAGTTTGAGGACCCCTGCTCTAATTCTACGAAGGAGCACAGCTGGAGTGTCAGTCAAAGCTGATAATAAGTACTCTTGTCTGTCACATCTATAAGATTTGAAAGGATTGATCCGAGAGCTATCAAGCTGCAAACCCAGTTTTTCAGTGTGAGTGTAACCTTACCTAGGACTGGTTCACACATCTTCATCTCCAAATTAGGACGCTTAAATACTAGGGCTGGGCGGTTTCATTTCGTAATTTCGTAATTCGTTAAAAATTTGTTATTTTTTTATAACGAAGCCATAACGAACCATTCAGGAGCAACTAAAAAACGAAATGAATTTTTAAATTCGTTTCGTAATTGTTTCGAATTCGTTTTGTATTCGTTTCGTTATCGTTTTGAAATCGTTTTGTTATTATTTCCGCATGTCTGGGGCAAGTTTTATAGTTGTTGTTTGTTTAATCAGTGAAAAAAAAATATCACACACAACAGTCAACAACAGAGGGAGAGGGAAGCTTCAGAAGTTCCCCCTGTCCCATTTGGAGGTTTTTTAGCGTATTGCGCGGTCGCGTCCGCCATTAACGAATCGATTCGTAATTGTTTCGTAATCGTTTTGTAATCTACAAAATTTCGTAAATATCGAACTTTTTAAAAGAAAAATTTTGGAATTCTTTAAAAAATTGAAATGCAAAAACCCCCAAAAAACGAATCGATTTTAGAAACAAATTTTTCCGTGGTTGTCCAGCCCTATTAAATACCTTTGTCCTATCTAGATTCAGTTTTAATTGTTTTTCTTTATCAAGCCCATTATCTTCCTCAGGTATTTATTCATAGGTAAATGCATACTATTCATAGCTGTTTTAGACAAATATATTTGGCTGTCATCAGCATACCCAGCCCCATGTCTCCAGATGGTCTCTCTCGGCAGCTTCATGTAAATATTAAAAAACATTAGAGGATAGAATGGCCCCTTGTGGAATGCCACATAACAGAAAAAGCAACCACTGCTATACAGTTGGCATCAGTTTTTTCAATGTGGCTTTTTTACTATTGCACCTAATAAACATAGGTAGGTGAAATCAATGTTAAACCAACAAAAATGGATCAATGGGATATGTGTAAAAATATCTATACACTTTCTCTTGAAGAGGAGAAAGAGAGCAGGAGAGAAGCTGCAAT